GTTTAATTCATGGGGCAGCCCTGCAACAGGACGGAGGCTCTGGCCCAGTGGGGATTCCTCCCAGAGCAAAATATTGCCAGAGGGATGCTGCTGCCACCCCTGTGGGCCATCCTTTAGGCCCCTAACCAGAGGGGCCTAATCCCAGGAGGGTGCCGAGACTGCTGGCATCCCAACCAGAGGGCTGCACAGCTAAGTGGGAAGAACAGGGACCTGGGAGGTGTGAGCCTGGGGGGCGGGGAGGCTCCTGCTGCTCTTGGGGACTGGTGAGGTGAGTGTGCTTGGGCAAGTCGCCTAGCCTCTCTGATCCTGTATCTCATCTGGAAAGTGAGGCAGCTAATCACTCCGATCTCCCAGGGGTGGGCTGCAGGAGTAAAGAGGGGTGGGAAAGGATGCGGTGGATGATCCGATGTTCTTCACTTGTGTGGCATTATCTTTAGGACTTCCTGCTCCCCTCCCCGCCCCGCCCCAGATTCTTCAAGAGCAATCTGGGGGAACGATTCCTATCAGGAATACTTCCTGGGGACCTGGGGGCTTTTCAAAGGAGGGAGTCCCTCCCTGCCCCATCCTCTTAGCCAGGTGCACCTCTGGTCAGCCAGGGTGAACTAACTCCTACAGTGCCCAAACGCACCGTCCTCAGGCCCACTCGTGCCTGTGCGCCTCTGAATCTGCTCTCCCTCATCCCCACCCCCAGCCTGGCATGCCTTTACTCCTATGTCTGCCTGGCAACTCCTACTCAGTCTCCAAGACTCAGTTTGAAAGGGTCAGCTCCTCCTGGAAACCTTTGCTCTCCTGTCCCAGGCAGAATTAGTTGCTCCTTTTTCTGTGCCTCCCGCACATTCTTCTATTATAGTGTCCACCCATCCGTCCGTCCGTCCGTCCGTCCGTCCATCCATCCATCCACCCATCCGTCCATCCGTCCATCCATCCACTCATCCATCCATCCGTCAGTCTGTCTGTCCATCCATCCATCCATCCACCCACCCACCCCTACCTTTGCTCTCCTGTCCCAGGCAGAATTAGTTGCTCCTTTTTCTGTGCCTCCCGCACATTCTTCTATTATAGTGTCCACCCATCCGTCCGTCCGTCCGTCCGTCCGTCCATCCATCCATCCACCCACCTGCCCACCCATCCACTTATCCATTATCCATCCATTCACTCATCCATCCACTTATCCACCCATCCATATGTCCATTCTATTTATTGAGCACTTACAGTATACATCTCTGATCATGTTGTTTTGAAGTTTTGGACAAGTTTGGCTTTCCATAGACCAGTGGTTCTCAGTCTTTTCAGGGTCAAGGACACCCTCCCCCAGAAAAATGCAAGTATGCATATACATGCCAGATCTTGCTTCCCTCTTCAGGGATCCCTGGTCATCCCTGAAGCCTGGCTGTGGCCCCTGGGTGTGGCGTATGCTGTGATGGGCTGCTCAGATTCCCCCTTGGGAATGAAAGACTAATTCCCTTGCTGCTGGGAGAGGGGCTGGAATACGGTCCTCGGCTGTCAGCCTTTCTTGGAGATTCTCTTGATTGGAAGAAACCCACCTCGCCCTTCCAGTAGGCCCACTTCCAGTGACAGAACAGGGCAGAAGTGCAAAGGCCTGAACCTCTCACCACACTTGGCACAAGTCTGAAGGGTTATCTCAGCTCTAGGGCTCCCCATGGGGTACCGAGACCTTCGCTGGGACTCAACTTCTCCCTCCGCCAAAATCTGCATCCTTCTCCTCCCTTCCACGTGTTTCTCCCAAGAACACTTCCTAAACAATGTCCTACACTCTAATCTCCATCTGAGTCTACTTCCCAGGGAACCTACTGGATTAGAAGGCCCTACAGAAGTTCCTTGCGGGCAGCGATGGCATCTTAAATGACTTCTGCACCTCCAGCAGCTCTACTGGGCAGAGCACGTTGCGGATGCTCCAGAAACATTTACTGAATGTATTTCAATGCATTTTCTCCTGGTTCTCTGTTCTGCCCCTCTGTTGTCCTAGCAAGAGAGTTCTCATCAGACACCCAAGAAAAAGGGACTGCCCCACCAGCAGGATGCCAGCAGGACCAAGGCTGTGGGTCTGTTTCTGGGAAATACACTAGTTGCCAACGAAACTGCTGATAACCATGGGAACAGAAGTCAAGCTAATTGGTTACTACAAAGCAGGGGCAAAGGGGCCTGGCTGATGTAAGGGCTGTGTGGTGAGGGTGAAGGTCAAGGGGATGGCTGCGGGGCTGGAGGCTGGCAGGAACGGGTGGTGGTGGTGGGGAAGCTTTTTCCCTTGTAGGGCAAATTGTTTAGAAGTGAGGCTGGTTCCCATGACTTAGAAAAACCCTACTTCCCACTGTTGGAAATTCTATTACAGAACAAATATCTATTAAGTGCCTCAGTGTGCCAGGCATTATAGCAAGGATGGTGACCTTGCAAGGCTAGGAGTCCAATGCTTGTTCCTCCTCTCACTCGCTTTGTCACCCAGGCACATCCCGTTGCCGACATTTACTAAGAGGCTATTACTATGTGCCCAGCACTGTGCTACTGCTTTACATAGTTATTGCATCTTCACAATAGCTTCATTAGGAGATAAGCATTATGATTCCTGCTTTATAGACAAGGAAACGGGCTCAGAGGGTGTCGGCGACATGCACAGGACACACAGCTAACCACAGGGCCGAGACGGGAATCCAAGTCTGCTGGAGTCCCCAAGGCATGCTTTCAGCCACTGTCATGCTTAACCTCTATGAACTTGGTTTCCACAGCTATGAAATAAGTACAATCAATTCCTACTGCACTGGGCTTTAGGGATTAAAGAACCTATTTGAGAAGCCTAGAGGGTGCCCAGTGAATGGTCCATTGTGTTCTGTCTCCCTGGTGCCCTGCCTCAACACTTCCCCTAGGCCAGGAGGAAGGATGGCCCCATTGGCCATCTCCCCAAGGACGAATGTCTCTATCCCAAGTTCAGCACAATGTCTGCACACAGCACTCACTGAATGCTGCTACCCAAGTGGGTAATCTGGGGGTCCCCACCCTGTTCTCTGGTCTGTAAATTGGGGACTCCACTCAGTCTAGCATTAGTCTGCGATGCAGAAAGCTGTGGCAAGTGCCACAGAAACGATTCTCTTGGTTTCATGTAACTCTACTCTCAAGCCACTGTGACTTTCCAGTGCTTCTCAGCAGAACGGAGCAGAAACAGATGGAGGTGATCTCCTGAGCCCTCACAGCAGAGAAGGGGACCAGAATGAAGATGAAGGCATTCCAGGTCCCGCCTGCCGACTCAGGTCTCTCCCACAGGCAAACTCCAGCTTGTTCTCACCCCCACCACAACCTCAACTGCAGACATCCTCATATATTGGGGGCAATAACCTTCCTTCCACCGTAGGCTCCTGGGAGTCAGTGGGCATGTAAGCACTTAAAACTCAAACCTGCAGGTCAGCCCTCCTTCCCTCCTCTGCAGAAGCCTTGGAGCTGTAGAGTGCGTGGGGATAGACACCGCATCTTTGGAGAGACAAGTCACATCCTCGGCTTCCCGCAACCTGTGCAAGCACCGAGTTGCCATAGAAACGCTGCGGCTGAGATGCAATGGCTGCAGACAGCATGGGTGCTTCTAGGGCTCAAAGCTGAGGGTGGACACTATCTGGCCTGGAAGGCCAGATGATTGGGCAGGCAGGGAGGGGGAGAAGGGGAGGGAGCCGTCCTCTAGGATCGGCTGGTAATTGCTGCTAAGTGAGGGGCTGTCATTGAACCCAACACGGAGGCAGCAAGGGCCCCCTGCTCTGTACCCTGTAATTACTGCACCAGACAGCAGCTCTTGCTCCCTCTGTGGGGAGAGAGAAGGACGATGGGGGAGTAGATAGGAAGCTCTCATCCACCTGAGCCAGCAGGGCTCTGGCGGGCTCTCTGGCTGCCCAAGCATCCTGCATCCCAAGCAGCCTCTCAGGCATAGGTGAGAGGCCCTGGCCCCTCCTCTTTGCAGGCTCTCCCCACGTCATCTAGTGTGGAGCACAAGCTTCCTTTAATCCTGGCCTCTGAGCTTGCAGAATCCAAGCAGGGCAGAGGGGCAGGAGCCAGAGAAGGCACCACCTCGACAGAGCCCTTGGTGTCATACCTCTACTTGCGGAAGAAGTCTGCACTGTGAGGCTGAACTGGAGACAAATCTTGGTTCTAATTCCTCCTGAGCTCAGAGGCTCTAAGGTTCTCAGGCTAGTCATTGCCCCTCCTATGCTGCCGCTTCCCTAGCTGTCAGACTGACAGTGGGACTCAACGATTCTTAGGGATTCTTCTATGGCAGAGGCTGACAAACTGCAGCCAACGAGCCAAATCTTAATTTTGTAAATAAGGTTTCACTAGAACATAACTGTGCCGTTTGATTCTGTCTCCGTGTCTGTGGCGGCATTCTGGCCACAATGGCAGAGTTGAGTAGCTACAACAGAGACCGTGTGGCCCCTAAATGGAAAATATTTACTACCTGGCCCTTTATAGAAAGTTTGCCAACTCCGTTCCTCAAGAATTGATGTTCTCTAGGCTGAATAGTTTTCAAAGCTCCAATCTGATCTGAACAATTCTTAACAAGCCCCATCTCACTTGCCACCCGCATACACCCACTGTACTCTTGCAAGGACCCCTGCCTAGATTTGCAGTGATGGCAGGTCTGGAAGTTCCGAGTCACTGCATGGTGCAATGGCGCCACCTGCTGTGAATGCCTAAAAGCACTTCTGCCCTGAAAGATGGCCCTGCAGCCAGCAGCCCCCTCCCAACCCAGGGGGACCAGCTCACAGGAGCTGGCCAGGCTTCAGAACCATAGCGCATCGCATCTGCAACCGTGCTCCTCCCTCCCCATTTTATAAAGACTGCAGTCTAGACGGGCCGTGTGACTTATCCAAGGTAAGTGAGTAGAAGGCCCAGGTCCCAGAGGCCATAACCTGTCCACATACATCCCATGGACATAAGGCACACAGACTTGGCCAGAATCCTAGCGTGGCCACTCGTACAGGGTCTTAGTTCCATGGATGTTAAAAGGATTTTCAAAATAAACACTTATGTAACATTTACTCCGTTACCCATATTGACTCAATGTTCAGAATGATTCTGAGATAATTATAACCCCCATTTCATATATGAAAAGACTGTGGCACAGAAAGGTTAAGTGATTTAAGGTCACATAGCTAGTGAGGGGCAGTCAGGCTTCAAATCAAGGATGTGAAAACATTAAAGTTCCTGGAATATGGTACTCGGTACACATTAATTTCTTTCCTGCCTGCAGGTGTGGTGGGGCCCCAAGGGAGGGTCCCATGGCTCAAATAGGAGCATAGTGATGTGGACGCCTGGAGTATGACCAGTCACCTGAGGAAGGCCCCAGGCAGGCAAAGAGGGAAAGATGCCAGGCCTGTACTGCCCCTCTCCACCCCTGCAGCTCCAGGCAACATGAGGTGGTCAGTGGACTGTAAACCCTTTATTTCCAAACTATAAATAGATCTGCTCTCTGAGAAAAGATGCTGTGCAGGTGATGAGGCCCCGGCCTTTCCATCTCCCTTTCCCAACTGCTCCATAGCCCAAACCCAGTCTCCTTAGAAGCCTGTTATGCCTCTGAAATCACAGTCTCGGCAGCCAGAGCCTGGCGCGCAGGCGAGAACAGCCTTCCCTTCTCTCGCTGTGACTCCAGCACAGCTTGGGCCCTGCTCTCGCCAGGTCCACAGCTGGCCGGGTGCTCAGCCCTCTGTTTGACCAACTCCCTGACCCAGTCCCACCACGAGGTCATGTGCTATCCGAGGTCCGGCCTGGATACTCCTGGCTCATTGCTCCCAGCTGCTGTGAGGAGCCACCTGGGTCCCCAAACTGCTATCCAGTATAAAGTTGGGGAGTGGCCTGCTTCCAAGCTGCTATCCCTGGGCCACGAAGTATTCCTTCTCTTCCTCCCCATTGTCATCCTCCTCCGGCTGGCTGCTCCGGAGTAGCAACTCCAGGTCAGGGGTGGAGCCCAGCCCCTTCATAGGTTTAGGGCCATCACCTGGGGATAGGAAGAGACCAGTTACAGTTAATAATGGCTGCCTGGTGTGCCCTGATGTGAATGTGTGCTGAGTCACCCAGGCTCCCCCACCAACTCCCTAGAGATGACCCCTGTGTCTTAGGAGTGGCGGTGGTAGAACCACCAGGCACACTTCCTGAATTAGGGACCAGCCGATGCAGAGGCAGCCGAACTGTGCCGACAGCAACCAGACTAGGACCGCTTTGGGGAAGTTGAGAGCCACTTGCTTCTTTACGGCAGGGCTGGGTTGAAGGGAAATCAGAGGGGCTGAGAGTCCAGTCATGGGGAGAATGTCATCAGAACACAGGCTCCCGAAGCGGGCTCCAGTTACCTTTGGAGTGAAGGGCTTTGAGGGCGACATGCAGGGATATGCCTGAGAGGCAGAGGGCAAAGCCCAGCCAGTTCAGGAGGCTGATCTGATCACCCAACAGATGAGCTGCCAACAGTAAAGTGCAGACTTCCTGTGGGCAGAGAAGCAGGAAGGAGAAGTGATCAGCAGGAGCTGGGCCCTTTGCGAGGAAGGTGGAGGGCTAAGGCACTGGGCATACCCGTAGGAAAGAGCCAGCCCTGCCCAAAGTCCCAGACTGGGGTAGGGGTAGCTTCCACAGGCTCAGAGGACCAGGCCTGCCTGTAACACTTTTCTCCCTTTGTTACCGAGATGCAACAAAGGAGGTGCTTTTCACAGAATTCTGTCAGAATTAAGAGGTAAACCAAATCCAGTGTGTCCACAGGAATGAAGGAGAGCTGCCCTTCTAGAAGGCACCTACAGTTGGAGAGCTCTCAGTCACCAGGGAGAATGCGGTCACACTAGGGTGTACAGGACGCTCACTGGTCCCGGGGTTTGTCATGCACAGTAACTACAAACGGCACTGTGAGACAATTCATTCCAAGAACCACAGCTTATGTCTCTTATTTGGTTGGCAACCAGAAGACCCTTGGGGACGCCTACATTTCTGTTTTTAGGCAACAGTGCTCCAGTATCAGTGTCACCTGGTCAGGGCAGTCTCCCTCTGTGGCCCGGATCAGGGAGGAGGGAGAGATGGTCAGGGAGGGAGGGGAGATGTGACGAGAGGAGAGGCAGGGCAGTGGTAAAGGCAGGATAGGCAAACACAGGGCACTCAGGATATACGCATCCCTGGCTGAGCCCATGGCAGACACTGCCAATCAATCACAGAACTTTTTACTGATGAGTCTGGATGGGGCTTCAGGCTGCTGCCAAATGACCAGAGTTGGTATTCCTGGTAATTATAAATGCATCCCAGGCCTAGAGGAGTCCGACCCGGCTTTGCATGCCAGCTCAGCCACCATGCTGTGTTCTCTTCAGTAGGAGCAGCTCTTCAGGTCTGATGACCGCTCCCACCTACAGGGCGCAGTGAGGATGGGAGGGGATACAGATGAGAACGTGGCACTTAGCACCCTAATGAGGTATTTCTGCGTCTTCTCTGCAGGCCTTGGGTGCAGGAGCTGGGACGGGAACTGCTGTTGAGAAAAACCCTCAGGAGGCTCCCCTTTACGACAGGACTGGGGTCACCTCCAGTCTGTACCTTAAAAATGCCGGCAATGGAGAGAGTGAGGCTGGAGGTTCTGGAGACCAGGAGGAACTCGGAGAAGCCCAAACCAAAGGCAAGAATCCCACCAAGGAAGAGGCTCCCAAGTACCCACAGGAGCGGCCCTGTGTCCTGGAAACGGAAGATTTTCTCAGATGTGGACAAATGGAGACCTGAAAGCAATGAAGGAAGAGAGGGGCGGCCATGTCCTGGGTGTGCCTGCCCAGGCGGCCCCGCCCTCCCAGCCGCCCGGTGAGATCTGCTGCTGTCTGTCGCAGTGCAGTGCAGTGCGTACTTCCTGACACCTGCTGACTGAGGACCTAAGGAAAAGGATGGGAGAAGCCCACGCAGGGGGACAGCGGGGAAGCAGCGATGGCTGCCAGAGCCCCGGGGCCGTACAAGCTGGCGATCTGATGGGAAGTGGTGGGAAGGGCTCTGCAGCCCCTGGGTTAAGTAGAGGAAGCGGGCACCGCAGAGCAAACCGACAGAGGCACGTTGCTCTTTCACAGGCAGTTCCCCACCCATCCATGGGGAGGATGGGCGGGGGTGGTGACTTCATGTGGCCTTTGCAGCTGTGATAACTAGTGGGCCAAAGAGAGGTGGGGCAGTCCATCAAGTGAGGACTGCTGACGTCCTGGTTCGTTGGGGAGTCCCTTGTTCTCACTTTCAGGCGGAGACAAAACTCCACCCTTACCATCCTTCGCCATTTCAATCCAGGCTTTGCCATTACAGAGCTGTGGGACTTGCCAAGACGCCCCTTTCTGAAGCACAGTTTCCCTACTAGCAACATGGAAGGGTTGAGACCAGACCAGTGTTTCTCAAACAGATGGTATAATTTCACGAACAGTTCTCGAAAAGCAAACACTGCATATAAATATACGACAAATGCCATGGTCCCTTGTTCCAGAGACACCCACACAAGCATCCATGCACTAAATTTTGCTTTAACTTTCAGAGGGTTCTTGGTTCTGCAACGCTGTCCATCCAAGAGATGACTGCTGGAAAGGTTCCTTTCATATCAGCAAGGTGTGAGGTGATTCCTGAACTAGGCACAAAGGACACACTTGTGGGAGCAAGAGGCTGGCCGAGGACTTAAGAGATTTTTTGGAGGGAAGCACCGAGGAAATGCAGAGTGGCAATGCCTCCGACCTCAGGCAAACAGCCTCCCGACACAGGCCACCTTGTCTGGTGCTGGGCTCAGCAGCACTGCAGAGGCGTCGGCAAATTGAAGGGAATTCAGGGAAAGCAACATAAGTAATGAAGGCGCTTGGGGGATTAATTTACCAGAAAAGATTAGAGGAGCTAAATCCACACAGCTCTGCTAAGTGACGACTACCAGGGGCTTTTGGCTGAGGGTTTGCAGGGATAGGGAATGGTGTAAACACCCAGGGAGGGAGGGAGAGTGTTGGTACAGGGGGCCACAATGAAAAAAACGGGGAGATTTTTAAAAGGAAAAAAATGAGGCTGCAGAACAGAAGTTTCCTGGACAACGGGGCTGCAGAATAATTTTCTCAGAAAGGTTCCAGACGCTTCACTGCTTGAAACTTAAATGGATGTGGACAGAATTTTCTGTAATGACCCTGAGGACAGAAGGGACTCTGGGAGGAAGGATAAACAGACGGAGACAAAGACTAATCCCAAAACATCGGAGAAAGGAATGTGGCGCTGTACCTCCAGGCCTAGGCCTTTCAGCTTCTCTGGGAGATGACAGGCTGCCCCCAACCCCCCAACCCCCACTCCAGAAACGTACACCCAGCCAATCCAGCACACACTTGACACATGTGAGCCTACTGTTCCCACTTCCCGGTCTGTGCCGCCCCCAACGGCCTGTCAAAGTCTCATTCATCCTCCAGAATACACATCTAGGAAGCCTTCTGACTCGCCTTTCCACCCCAGCATCCTGAGAAAACTCCTGACCCTCTGCTCTAAGAGGCAGAACACAGCATAATAGTTACGAGGGATTCTGGAGTCATGGGGCCTGGTGCAAGGTTATCTTTATTGCTCTCTATCTCAGTTTCTTCCACCTGCAAATGGGTATATTAACAGTACTGCCACGCAGGGTTTTGGAGAATATTAAAAAGTGAATATATTTAAAATGAATAGAAGAACCCTGACATACCTTTTGAGCTGTACACATTCACTGTCATCTGCTGTATTTAATACACACTTTCTACGCAGCATTTATCATGCTAGATTCTAGTCGCTCAGCTGAAGTGTCTGTCCAGCCCCTAGGCACTGCCAGGGGAGGGGCCGTAACTTTGATCTCTGCATCTTATACAACTACCACAGTGTTCGGCTCAGAGCAGAGATTAGCGATCTGTTGCATTGAGGTGCCCCAACCTACCTTCAAATATGGCAAAGAGAGGGAAGAGCCCGAGAAACATGAGTGGCTGCAGGTGGAACATGGTGTCAATGGGGTTCTGGAGTCCTGTAGGATGGGGACATGGGCAAGCTGTCAGGCCTGGCCTGGCCTGCCTCCACCCCGCCTGGTGCCCAGGACCCTCTCTCACCAAGTTCCGCCTTCTGCAGAAGCATCTGGGTAAGGGTCCAGCGAATGCCACCAATGAACGAGGCCCCCAGCACCAAGGCAAAGCCCTCCATGTTGAACTGCGTGGACTTGTAGGTGAACATGAAGAGGCCCCCGGCGATAAGGAGGACCACCAGGACCAGAGCCGCACGCTATTAGAATGGGGAGCAGTGGCAACTAACTTCGGGGTCTTGAGGTCATCAAACCTGGAGTTTGGGGGTCAGCGGCCATCTTGGTTGTCCCTTTTTTCCCCACCACCCCGGGGGGTTCTGGGCAGCTCCTTCCCATTCATGTATGCAGAGCTGACATTCAGCTGCCACGTACCCAACATCCCTACCTGACCTAAAATAAAACACTAAAGTGCTTTCCTGTGCCTGTCCTAGGTCCCCAAGTGGCCTTGCTGCCTCCCCTGTACTAGCAAACAAAAGGTGCTGCCTTGCACAGCAGGGAGCCTCCAGGACCCTGCCTGACCTGACCCTTGTCCTTGAATCCTTCTCACTTGGTCGTCACTCCTGCCTGCCACACTGGCTTTCTAAAAACTGTCAGGAGTGCTGAATCCTAGGTCCTTCCTCAGTGATGGGAATTGCTGCCACCTGGGCTGGGCTTGTCTCTTCTGTCACGGAGACAAGCCACAGCTCAGATCCCCCTTTTTATTCCTGGCATCGGCGGGGGCAGCAGGGACAAAAGGGAAGCTGGGGCCTCACCAGCTCCTCCAGCTTGAAGATCAGAGAGAAGATCAAGATGAAGAGCACGGCTGAGGATTTGGTCATTGTGTACCTGGAAGCGAAAAGTACCACAATGCACCGCTGGAGCCTGGGGCTCAGACCCGCCATCGAGAAAGGAGCCCACGGCACGATCAGTGGGCGAGAAAAGCGGGGGAGCTCCTTGACCTCCCGGAGGGCAACTGGCTCTGCTCAGGGCAGCAGGGCAATCTGGGTACAAAAGACCAAAAGAAGGTGGCCTGCGTCATCTGGGCTGGTGTGTAACCTTTAATCGGAAGAAATCTATGACTATCAGGCCTCTGATTATCACAGGGAGCAAGGCTGCAGGTCTGACAGCGAGCTCACAGAGACCTATTATTATCTACCCCTCAGTGGAGACCAGAATGAGGAAGGAAGGACGGGAGGAGGAGAAAAAGAGAAGGCAGGGGCTGTGCTCTCTGAAGCACAAAATTGGAGGTAAGAAATAACTTGTGCCTCCCCTCCGCATCTGTGTGCACTGCCCTTGCCTCCGGCCATGACTGTCATCGTTTTGTCTGAGCCCTTGGCTTCCCTAGGCCACCTGGCAGGCAGGCGCAGCATCCCCTCTGCATCCGACTTAAGAAAGAGGCTGGTGAGTTTCGGGACAGCTGCTGGGTGTCAGGGTGGAGCTGAAAGAGGAGGGCTGGTCCCAGAGGGCGGTGTAGTGGCTGGGCCATCGGCCGGGTATGCAGACAGCCAGCTGGACAGACAGAGAGCTAAAGCCTGAAGGGAGGTGGCGAGGTGTGGCCGGTACTCACAGTGAGACGGTGATGTAAAGGAAGCTCCAGTTGGACAAGCCCACGTCAAGTGCCGTTGCCAGTGCTGTGGAGACAAGGGGCACCCACAGGACACACCGCATGGCAGGCCGGTGTGGGGGTGCCAGCTGTCAGAATACTTCCGTGAGGCTCCTGAGTGCCCCCACTTAGCCCAGCTCACCCTGGCTTTCTCTGGGGCCTATGGACCCTCCCTTTTCAGCCAGCAACTAAAAGGTTGACTCTTCGCCAAAAACAGGGGTGCGTGTGGGGGTCTGCTCCAGCATCCGGGCTGTAGTCCATTCTGACTGGCTGGGGCCTGTGTCGTTCCCACTTGTTAAATATTTTGAACAGCCCCCATTGAGGGAAATTAATCTGACCCCACTGATCCTGTAACTGAAAACGCTACAGAGGGGTCACAGAGGAGGACTGGCCCTCCAGGATCGGACCCCTGCCACCCTCTCAGTTCTCATTTCTCCCACTAACTCTCACCGACGCTGAGCTCTCGGCATCCGGAGACACTTTCAATTCCCATTCAGACCTTCACGTGCACTAAACCTCTCCTGGGCATAGGACCGACAGTCCTACTCACCCCCCAGTCTCGGCCAGCTCAGGCCTCACTCTGGGGAACCGTCCCTGCCCAGCACCCAGTGCCTATCCCAGCCTTGATTGGTCCCCTTTGTGCTCAGCACGAGGGCAGGGATGCACCCCGCTCTGTACTGTCTTCAGGCCTTGGTGCACGGCCCGGTGCAGTGTTCAAGGCTGAGGGAACTACAAAGCCACTGCTGCACCGGCCTCTCTCTGGGTGTGCATGGGGGGAGGAGGCAGGTGGGGGGGGGTGCGTAAGAGACAGAAGTGGGGACAGGAAAGGGCAGGAAGAGAAGAGTGAGGAAGCATGGGGGCGGGGGCACGACGGCTTCCCAAGCAACCCTCCTCCCGTCGCACCCCCGACCCCCATGGGCACACACCTGTCGGAGCTACTCTTCTGAGGTAGTCGGTCCAGCTCAGCACCACGCGGGCCCTGTGGCTGGAGCACTGAACCAGCGCCCTGGACAGGGCCGAGAACAGGAAGATCACAGCCAGGTGCAGCATCGTCATGAAGAGGGGGAAGTGGAAGCTCTGTACGGAGTTCAAGCACAGCCGGCGCAGGCAGTGTAGAGTGCCAGCCCGCACCTGGCTCCCTCTTCCCTCCCGCCTCTACTTGGTGGCAGTGGTGCTAATTCGGTGCTTCACGAGGGCTTTGCAGTGTACAAGGGGCTTTCGCCCACATTACAATCACTGGGAAGCGACTTAGTCCCAATTTTGGAGGTCATACAGAGAGCAGGTGGCAGAGCAGGTCTCAATTGGAGTGTGGTGCTGTCTCTACCCCTACAACAGCCTGTCAGCTACCTGCTCCAGGCCCTTCCCACAGCCCACACCCAGGTAAGAGCCAGTGTGGGCCAGGACGGACATGCCGATCGTTCAATGGAGTACTGAACTACTTCTCCATTGGTTGGTCAACGCTGCTGCCTTGAGCCTCCCAAGTCTCCCCAGCTCATCCCTGTGTGTCCCCCTTCCTGATTTCCCCTCGATCCAAACACTTCTGGGGATCACTGGTGTGGCAGGGCAGGCTGCAGAGCCCTGTTCCATCACTAGTGTGACAGGCCTCCGGTTTGACTGGTCCAAGTCCATGCATTCCTGTTGTTAAATATTAGGGACACTGTAGCCCAGCCACCTCCCTCCCAGCGCCCCCACACTGCAGGCCTCCAAGTTACCTTTGTCAGCCATTTGTTGTAGAAGGTGATGCCGATGGAGAAGCAGTAATAAAGAAGGACCAGCCCCAGACTCAGCACCGCCTTCCACACAAAGGCCACGTCGAGGGCCCACCTCCCCATCCGTGGCAGCGGCGATTCCCCAGCACGGCGTCAGTGGGGGTAGGCACCCCTCCTGAAGACAGGCCACAGGGGAGCCGGTTGCGCTGGGCCACGACTTTCAACAGGGACGTCTCCTGGTTAGAGGAGTCCTCTTCACCTCCATGATTCAGGATGGTCAGCGGAGCACTAGGCAAAGTGCTCACCTAAGGGGCTGGTGGCCTGAGCCGACCTTCTCCATGGTTAACCAGATGCACGGCTCACAGGTCCCCAGGTCTGACGCTAGAAGGATGAAAAGGCAGCTCTGGTGGCCTGGGCAGAGGGAGAGCCACCTGATTGTATCCACCCCATTCCTGTCCCATAGGGGGATCAGAACATACAGGACGACAAGAAGGAGCCCTCATCCGGCACAGGCACTCACAGCAGAGTTCCCTGTCACATCCACTCTCTTGTCATCTCAAGCTGTTCTCTACAAATTGCCACCAAAGTGACCTTTTACAAACATAAATCTGATCACGTCAGACCACTGCTTTAAAGCCCTTCTGTGGCCTCCAGTGCTCTTATGATAAAGATCAAAGCAGGTAAGAGGGCCTGATGGGGCCCCTGCCAGCCCTCTTCCCACAGGCCACCTTCCAGATCCCCAAATACGCCAGGCTCCTTCTTGCTGCCTGAAGGAACAGAATGCTCTGCCCTTCCTTCCTTCTTCAGCTGATCTTACTTACCTCCAGCATAAATGGAGTTTCCTCAGGCATGCCCCCCACCCCTTGATGGGTCTCGAGGCTGCTCTCCCAGCTCCCCTACTTCTCCTTCATTGACCCTGTGTAGGGCGTGATGATTTGAGTGACGTCAGTGTCCCCTGGGAGGCCATGAGCTTCACAAAGACAGGGACCACGGTGTCCACGTTAGCCCTACATCTCACCCGCCATATTTTAAGTTCTCGTATGGTTTGATGATTCAGTGCAAGAGAGTGGAGTGGGCATGTGATATTCAGGAAACTAATCTGGTCTTCAATTGGGTCACTAATCTGGTGTTAAAAATGGCCCAGGAAACCAACACTTAGTTGCCCTAGCCTCTAACAACCACTCCCTCAGACACGGTGCCTGTCTAAGGGTCTTGCCAAACTAAACCACTCCCTGGCTCCCTATCATCCCGGCCAACCCCAGTGAGTGCCTGGGGCATGCCAGGCCCTCGGGAGACCGGGCAGACCCCCGGGCCAGCATTACCCCACCTGCTGCTTCATCTGTGTGTCCCTCCTCCCACCCTGCTTTGAGATGTTCCCACCCTGCTGAGATGCCACCTCCTTCTTGAAGCCTTCCTTGAACCATCTGATCAGACATACCCTGACTTACCCCCACCCCAGTCCTTTCTGAAGAGAGCATTTACACCAGTTTGCACCCTGGAACCTAGGTCCTTTCCCCTTCCCTGAGGCAAACTGGGAACTGGCACAAGGCTCATGACCCAAAGGACACCCTAGAGCGTGGTTCTCTTCAGGGCCACTTTGGAAACCTGTGGTGTGTTTTGAGGGGAAACTCCTAGCTTGAGTGAGTGGGGACTATGGGGGGACAGTCCACATAACTAAGAAGTGTTTTGCATCCTGCATGACTTTGACACTCCTGTAGGTGAAAGGTCTGCTTAAAATGACCTGAACCTAGAACCCGACTGTTTTACAGGAAGCACAGAGCAGCTTTTCCATGGTTCTACTAGGTACTAAAATTCCCAAGAATGCATTTGCCACGTACACTGGGGGAAGACTGAACTGAATTTGATAAAAGGGTACCATGAGCTCCCAGTATGGAAAAGGCACATCACCTACAGCCACAGCATGCACGCTTTCACGCTGCCAACACAGCACGGCACCACAGTGTGCACTGCGGCCAACACATTCCCAGAGGTTCGACGGAGTGGCGAGAGCATCGACTGTTCTGACGTGGCTCCTAGTACCCCTGTGCCCAGGAACTACGAACTGAAGCTCTTTATTATCAGTTACTTTCCTTTCATTTTTCTTTTACATTATATGGTTAGGGCATCGCCAATTTTTAAAACATTATGTGTAGGCTGTTTTTATGAACCGTAAGATTCATTTTAAGATAATAAGAGGGGTTGGTTAAAAAATTATTTGTCATTAAAAAGAGAGTGATGCATGCATCCACGGGGTTGAGACCCACTGTGCTGCGTGACCCACTCCTTAAAGCGCCTCCTGTAAGCTGACGCTGGCCCGGTGCATCCTCCCTCTGACCTCCCCGTCAACTCCAGAAGATCCAACTGCCTGCTCGTCCTCTTCGCTCAGATGTCTCATGTCAGGCATCTCACTCTGGCCTGTCCAAAACCGACTCCTGTTTTCCAGGAGTCATCCGTCCTCCACCAAACCTACTCCTCTTCCCACCTCAGCCAGCGGCACCACCATTCACCTAGTAGCTTGGCCCAGAATCTTTGTTCTCATCCTTGATTCCTCTTTCTCTCGGCTCACATTCAGTCAACAAATACTGTCAGCTCTACCTTCAAAAAATATCCCAAGTCAGATCACACCTCCTGACCGCCACCACGACCATCCGTGCCATCGTCGTCTCTCCCCCACATATGCCTTAGTCTCCTATATGGTTTCCTCTGCTTCTCCCTGCACCTCCCACGGTGAGACTCCTGCTAACACAGCTAGAGAGTGGGGTCTAGAAGAGCTCAAGGCCAATATTCTTTCCTCTAGACCAGGGTTGCTCAACCTTGGCATAATTGACATTTGGAGCCAGACGCTTCCTTGTGGGGAGCAGGCCCTGTCCTGTACACTGTAGGA